ATGTGACTTCCTCTTTGAAATATGTTCAAGCCCCCGCTTGGGTTCACTGGGCTTACAACACTGTGGGTTTGGAAATTTTCATTTCCATTTCTTGTTATTTGGGGTAAACACAATTTTTAGGAAGTCTAGAGCCCGCCAGAGCCACAAGAGGATGCTGTGAGACCTGCCCAAATGCCCTCTTTGGGGCCATTGCATCTGCCTCCCTCATTCTGTCCTCCAGGCAGTGCCACCTCCCAGGAGAAAGCTAAGAACAATGGCTGATGTGGGATTGTAGGAACATGACCTGATCACTGAGGTTCACAGTAGCTCTTCAGAGCAACCACAGCTCCACAGATGTAGGGCCAGCTAAGAGGTCAGTAGTTACCACATGATGGTCCCTTCTTCTGCTGCCCGGGGCTGCCTCGCTCCATCCTCTACAGACAAGTCTGCTGGAAACCCCTGCATGACAAACTTTTTGGTAACACTTTGGCCTCTCAAAGCTCTGGATTCCTAGGAACCCAATCCAGAGTCTGACTCTTGATTCCAGTGTTCTTTCATGGAAAGTTAATCACAGGTCAGCAGACAAGAAAACGCCGTGCTCTTGAGTTCCAATACTTCCCCTTAACTAGTCCCAACTCTGGGGCACAAACAAATGACCCTGGAATTATAACACACGGCTCTTTACTCTTCTGGTCTGCTGCTCAGTAATGGATACATAAATGATAGGTATAGATAGGAGGTAAATAATAGATATCTGGTAGATGCTGAGATAGTATTTCGATAATATAGGTTATAGATAGAGAGATATACATGAGAATGCAGATATTTGAAGGGAATAGGTTAAGGTATCATATTTTTAAGCAGCTCATCTCTCAATATCAAGATAGACCCCTGAGAATGACATCGTTCAGCACTCATCTCCGAGCATTTCCCATCCTGACACTGAGTGGAATGGAATGTGCCAGTCAGAAACCACACCAGCAGCTTGAACAGGAGACATTATATAGAGAGGGTTACTAACTGAGGGGACGGGCTACTGAAGAGAGTATGGAGAACTCTAATGTGCCCAGGAACAACACTGCAGAAACTGCCATGGAAGCCAGGCTGCCTTGGAGCACCTAAAGAAGGGGACTTGGAAGACGTCCAGGGCCCTTCTCCATGAATGGCTGGTGCACTGTATCCTTTGCTTTTACAATCAAGAATTAAGTCAGGTATGGTGGTGGCACACGCCATTAGTCCCAGTCCTAGTTCTGGCAGAGGCAGGCAGATCTCTGTGCGTTCAGGGCCAGCTTGGTCTATCTAGCAAATCCCAGTGAGACCTGGGTAGAATGTCAGTATACTAGAAGACTGTCTCTGAATCTTTGGTAAAAGCATTGCTTCCTCTGAAGTAAGAACTTTGTAACAAGGAAATAGAACACAATGCGTGTTGTTCAAGGGACCTGATCCTTTGCGGCTTCCCTGCCTGTCCTTTCAATCTCTTGCCCCTTCTATCCTACTCCCTCTACTTGGCCCTACAGACCCTCTTGCCTACCAACTATCAACACAATTTACCTATTTTGTCTTTATCTGTTGGATATGAGCTCTCGGAAGGTGAGAACTTTTGCCTCTTCTGTTCACTGATTTTATCATCTCCTGCATCTGGAGCAGGGCTGAGTGCGTGCTGGGCCAGTAGCAATGTTTGTTGAAGTGGCTGACTCACATAGAAGAGGGGACAGGTAAGCACATGATCTAACACCTAAGACTGACAGTCAGCAGGGTTGGGTTGCAGTGATTAGGAGGAACTCAGACCTTCTGCACTAAGATCGCGTGAGCCTCATATCAAAACTTTAGAAGGTGCTTTGGTTTGACAAGGAAGGATGCTGTGGCTTCAGTAAAGGCCACCTCAAGACTCGTGTGTAAAAAGGAAAGACTTCCTAGTCTGGGCACTTTGTGGTAGGACCTCCAGAAGGTGGAACCTAGAGGAAGGTCGTGGGGTGACTGCTTACTGTACTTGAAGGGAATGGTCGAGTCCCAGCCCCTTCCCCTCTCCCTCCCTCCCCAGCTAACACTAGGCGGTCAACTGTCTCTCCCGTGTGCTCCCACCATGAAGCACTGCCTTGGCACAGCCCCAGAGGTGGCGGGCAGAGTGAGCATGGACCGAAACTTCAGAAAGTCAAAATAAGCTTTTCCTCCCTTTTAAACGTGATTGTCTCAAATGTTGCATCACAGTGATGGAAAGCTGACCAAGACGACCAAGACAAGTTTCTGTGTGCGTTCAGAGGCCAAAAGCAAGCTTTCCTTGGACCTCTGGGTGGGAGATGTAGCTTCTTCTTTCCCCTAGGCTTCAAGACAAGCAACAAGAAATGCTGGTGAGGATGGGAAGAGCCGGGAACCTTACATTCTTGGTGGGAATGTGAGCTGGTATAGCCAAGATGGAAATCAGTGTGACAACTGGGCGGGGGTTGAGGGAGGGGTGGCTCAGGGACAGAGCACTTGACCAGCATGTGGTCCTAGGCTGCCTCCCCATCAGTGACAGAAAACAACATCACATTAGAAGTTAAAACAAACAAACAAAAACAAAGCAACTGCCGTGTGACCCGGCTGTGCCACTCTTGGGGAGATACCCAAATGACGCTGTCACCAGACCTCAGGGATACTTGCACAATCATCCTTACTGCTGCCCTATTCTTAGCCTCTAGGAAATGGAGCCAGTCTAGATGCCCAACGACAGATGAACGGATAAGGAAACTGTGGTGTGTAGACACAACGGAATTTTATCCAGCCAGGAAGGAAGATGAAACTATTACACGTGCAGGGAAAGGAAACTGAAAGTTGTGACGTAAAGTGAAATAAAGCCAAACTCTTGCATATGTGGACTCTAGCTCTAAATGTGTATGTGTGTGTGAGAGCATGTGTATGTATATGTGTGTGCATGTGTGTATATGTGTGTGCATGTGTGTATCTGAGTGTGCGTGTGTGAGTGTGTGTGTGTGTGTGTGTGTGATAAGAGACGAGACTAAAAAGGAGGCCATGAGAGGAGAGAATGAGATCTTAGGGAAAGAACAAGAGAAATGTTGGGTCCACAGGGGTCACGCAAAGATAGGGGAAAGACCACCAAAGTCTATTAAACCAGAAGCAAACTTTATTCCAGGAAAAAATAAAAATAAAAAAATAAATCTCCATGGGGCACAAAAGCTTATCAGCTAGCTGAGATCATAGCCAGGGATGGACTCGTAAGGCTGTGGCAATGGGCTGTTTCCCAACTCCCCTTTTTATAGCAAGAAGCAAGCATTAGGCATGAACAAAAGAATTTTTACAATCTCAAGGTAGAACTCAGATTCAAATACAAATTGCTGACCCTCAGTTTGCAGAGGGCCGCTTCAGCCTTGCAGACATTGCTATGGGCTGTAAAGCAAAGTAGCCCATTGTTAATAGTTAATCCTTAAGCTGCTGAGAAAGTTGCCGACAGCCTGCTCTCCTTCTCCTAGGCTTACAAGTTTACATTTCTTTATTTCTGGAATCTACATTTCTATATTTTTATTCTTGGACTCTTTTAAGAAAGAAGGGTGATAGAATCCACGTGACATGAAAGCAGAAGGAGAAACAGTTGAAAGGACCACTAAGAAGGGACGGGAAACTAGGCAGAGCCTTGTGGTTGAGGACAGATAAGACAAAGACTAGTGACACATGTGTATGAGCATGTCATAATGAAACACATTATTTTGTATGCTAATTTGAAAAAAAAAAACCTGTGGCCTGAGTGTGGACAGACAGGATGCTGGGAATCAAGCAAAAATAAAACAATGCTGAAAGTGGAGGCCACAGTGACGGAGCAGTAGGAATGATCCTGAATTTACAGACGATTCCTTTTCCTCAAGACATTTTTGATTTCCCATCATCGTGCAACACAAAGCACATAGGGTACATGCTACCCACACCCACTTTCCCATCCAAGGAGCATTGTGTACATCTGTGAATCTGTCCCCCGTCTGGGAGTGAACTATGAGCCACTTAGCCTACTCACTCACAGGCCAGGTGTCACAGTATGACTCAGAGGCATCTAGCTGCAGAGGGCAGAGATCTCAGGAGGAGGGTGACAGCTGACATGACCCTTGCTGTAGCCACATCCACGAATAGAGAGAGCATCCTAAGGCCTGGCGAGTCCCACTCACCCCTAAATGCTCTCTCCTGCAGGGGAGAGGCCTTATTGGGAAGCTCCTCCATTCTGGGTTCTCACCGTACCAACCCGTGTCTCTGTTTCTGCCAGGATGCTAGGAGCTTAAAGCTCAATCCTGCTTATCTGGGCTCTGTTCTTTCTTACTAGTTTCCTCAGTATCGATTTCTATTTTTATAGGTTCACTTTTGGTATCACGTGTATCAGACCCGTTGTTGCTAATGCAAAGGAGACATCAACTGACCCCCCAAATTAGTTCAGTCATGGCTGCAAAGGGTCCTTGGCCTGCGGGCAGTTCGTATATTTTTTCCAGCTCTTCCAGGTTCCTCTTCTACGATCCTCATCTTCAAACGGCATCTCTTTCCTCTGCCCTTTCCCGCCACTCCAAAGCCTGTCGCCATCCCCGTCCTCCACTGAAGTTAAGCTTCATCTCCTCACGGTGTCTCCTCCCTGATCATGCCCTCACACACCCTCACACAGGATTTTCTTCTGGGGCTTTCCCTGAGCAGGTCCGCGTTCCAGTGGCAACTGCTTCCTTCCGGCTGCCTGCAGCTCTCTACTTTCCTCAGCAGGGAGGTCAACGCTCCTTCTGTGCCCCACCCTGTTCCCAATTTCTTTTCCTGCTGATATCACTCTAGCGCCTGTGCTCCCCAGATCATTTTGTAGCACTCTGTTCAACAGGAAAAGCACCATAGCTCTTCTCAAAAACAGCAGGAAAACAAACAAACAAAAACCCGACACCCACCACTCTGTTCTTCCCTGCAGGTCACCAGGGCTGGTGACAGCTGCCTTTGAGGGTCAGGACTTTGGTGAGTGTGGACACATTCGCTCTGGAAGCTGTTATCTACTCAGAGAACTTCTGTCTGAAGCCCAGGAGGCGGGGAGGCGGAGCCCAGCTTTCTGACGTCACCCTCTAATTATCACTGGGAGCACGCTTGACTTAGCACCCTTATCTGAGACAGCCTGGAGGACAGCTGGCTAAAAGGTACCTGGAAGTCAAACATGGGATACTGGGAAGGGAGAGACGAAAGCAACTTCTCAGTTTCTCCGAGGCTGACAGAGGCTCCTGAGAGAGACTTCAGAACTTCATTCCAGCTGGCTCTTGAAGCTGTGCCTGGAAGGGGCCAGCCTCCGAGGGATAAACAGTGCAGTCTCTAGCTCCTTGGGGTCAGGAGCAGTCTGTTCAGAAGGAAGTGCTGTTTCCCTGACCCCAGTGTTCCCACAGCCCCCTGGATGGCAGATCTTGGGGCTGCACCCTTCTCCACTCTTGGGAACTCAGTCAAGTGGTTATCTTTATCTCGCTAGTTGTCCGCGTGTTTGGCCAGTACGGTTTCACTTTTGCAAACATCTGTTTATGTCCCTGGAGAGGAAAATATCAAGCAGCCTGCCCCAAGACCGCCGCCGCTGCTTTAGCTGTTTCATTTCAAGCCGTGAGCAAGGTAAGGAAACTTTTTTTTTTTAATATCTGGGAAGTAGGAGGGGCACCGACTTCTCAGGTTGTTTTTAACTCTTTGTCTTCTTAGATCCTAGCTCCGAGTAAGCGAATCTCATTTTAACCAAAAGAAATGAAGTGACTGTAATGTCCCCGCGTCCTTTTGTGCCTGGCAGAGCTGTCACATTACCAGCACAGACCCTGGGTGTTGTAGAAGATTATATTAAGGTATACTATGGGTTCTTAATGAGTAGAATGAGCATAGCTGCCACTGTGGGAGAGGGGACAGACTTACTTCAAACCTTTTGCTCTAGGATGGAGGGGAGACATAATCTCTGATTTCCCCCCAGGGCAGCCCGAGATGGATAATTCCACGGTGGCCCCAGAGGACGACTATGATGTCTTCATAAAGGATGACCTGGACTGCTGTGTGACAGAGAAACCCCTCACCCCCGAGCTTGTCTCCACCCAGCAGGTACTACGGTTCTGCTGTGCTGTGTTTGCGGTGGGTCTCCTGGACAACGCCTTGGCTGCGTTTATACTGGTGCGATACAAAGGACTCAAGAATGTGGGGACCATCTACCTTCTAAACCTGGCAGCCGCGAATCTGTGTTTCCTGCTCCCCCTGCCGTTCTGGGCACACGCGGCTGCCCTTGGGGAAAGCCCTGGCAATGGGACTTGTAGAATTCTAGTTGGCCTCCATTCCACAGGCTTATACAGCGAGACGCTTTTCAACATCCTTCTCCTCGTGCAAGGGTACAAGGTGTTTTCCCAGGGGAGGCTGGCCTCCACCCTGACATCGGTGCCTAGTAGTGTTGTTACAAGTATCCTGGCATGGGTCATAGCTATTGCGCTCTCTTTGCCTGAATCTGTGCTCTATCGGCCTCAGAGGGAAAGAGAGAAACCCAAGTGTGCCTTTGGCAAACCTCACTTTTTGCCAATTGAAGAGCCACTCTGGAAGCATTTTCTGACTTTAAAGATGAACATTTTGGTTCTTGGTTTTCCTCTGTTGGTGTTTATATTCTGCTGCGGGCAAATGAGGAAAACGCAGACCACCAGGGAGAGGCAGAACGATCTTCGAAAGCTTGCACCCGTCATAACGGGTGTGTTCCTTTGGATGTGGGCACCGTACTGTGTTGTGCTTTTCCTGTTCGAGTTCCGGGAACACTTGTCCCTGCAGGATGAGAACAGCTACCACCTGGAAGCAAGCATTCAGGTCACACAGCTCATTGCCACCGCCCACTGCTGTGTTAACCCTCTCATTTGCTTGCTTCTTAACAAGGCTTTCACGAACTATCTCTGCAGCCTGTTCCCGCGGTGCAATGATGCCCCGTTTCAAAGGCACGGGGACTCTCAGCGAGCTACGCCAAGGAGTGGTCATGACCAGACAATTGAACTCTACCATAGTGTGCCTCAGAGGCAGGATACATAAACATCGATATTCCTGTCTCTTCGGATTATTTTATGTAATTTTTTTACATGTTTGTAAAAAAGAAAGAGGACTGGTTAATAAATATTTATTTGTAACTATTGGGTTTGTCTCTGGCATGGGGCTAAGCTGTTTATAAAGGTGAACGTCATCTTCCTCCTCACTGCTTGTCCATAGTGTGGGCACTTTTAGTCCCATAGCTCTAAGAAACTGAGGCTCGGTCATTTGTCCAATGTTACATAACTACAAAGCGCTCATAATTGTCAGCGAGGGGTGATGGCAGATGTCTGTAATCCCAGCACCCTAGGAGGCTGAGGCAGGAGGATTTCCACAAACGTAATGGTAACCTGGGAAGCATAGCAAGACCTCCCCCAACCTGGTTTTTGTTGCTGTTGAACAAATGAATATGTACTTCTAAAGCCCAGTTTGAAGGTTGGGGTGTAGTTCAGTTGGGAGAAGGTCAGCCCTGCCTCGCAGTCTTTGGTCCCAGTGCAGCATGGACCTAGCATGGTTGCACACTTTTTTTTTGAGACAGAATTTCTCTGTGTAGCCCTGTAGGCTGTCCTGAAACTTTCTTTATATACCAGGCTGGCCTTGAATTCAGAGATTCCCCTGCCTCTGCCTCCTAAGTCCTGAGACTAAAGGCATATGCCCCCATGCCCAGCTCCATGGTGCACAACTTAGAAGCAAACATTAGCATGGAAGCAGTTTTTCAGGCACATGCTCCCTCAGGCCGTGAAAAGAACTGACTTCATGATGGAGGCTGTGGAAACCAAAGGTAAGGCGATCGGTCCTATGGGTACCCAAGGCTCTTGGCTAGCCACCATACCCAAGCTTCCCTGGTTCTTCCAGCCCATGGGTCTTCCAAGGTTTTAGAGTCACTTGTTGCTGACTGTAACACAAAGGCAGAAACCTAAAGAGAGTTGATGTCAAAGTATGTCTAGAAACATTGGATTAAATGAGCACGGTGACCTTTGAAATATAACACATACCTCAGGCCTCATTAGCCTCTGACTGCAAAGAATTTCCACTTCCTTTTGTAGCTGAGTTACACGGCAGGCTTCCACCCGCCAGGCAGCGAGGCCAGCTCTTCGCCCAGGTTACATGCTACACCTGAGATCTCTGAGTGGCCCCCCTCTCTGCCTCTGGAGTTCAGAGCTGGACACCACACTCCATCTGGGCTGAGGGCTTGTGGCCACAGCTCTTCTTCTAGGGCTAAGATGGTGACACAGGCCTCAAAGGAAGTTGGAGGCGAGCATAGGCAGGCACAGAGAACAAGGAGAGCATTCGCCCAGGGGTCCTTCCCAGGACAAAGAGTTCTCCCGGGTCATAGGTCAATGACGGTCATCATCATCACAGAAGGAAGGAAAAAGAAAGGAAGGCCAGCACCGGGCTCCGTGACTGAAGGCACTTGCTGTGTCAGCCTGGTGGCCTGAGTTCAACCTCTGGAGCCAGCAGAGAGGGAGGAGAGAGCTAACTCTGACAAATTGTCCTCCGACTTCCACGTGTGTGCTTGTACATGCACGCACACACAGGCATGCGCGTACGTGTCACTCCCCACCCCCAGCCCCACCATGCACATCTAAAAGAAGTTTTGAAAGAAAGAAACTGATGGTGGCATCTCCAAGTAACTAAAGCTGGAATTCTTGTACCCTGCTGGTGGGAATATAAAATGACACAACCAGTTTGGGGAGAGATGCAAGTTTCCTAGTTACCAGTCGTTCCTCTTCTCCTTGTTAAATTTTATTTGTTTATGTACCTTTTTATTTTAAGTCTATGAGTGCTCTGCTTGCATATATGCCTACATACCAGAAGAGAGAATTAGATCCTATTCTAGATGGTTGTGAGCCGTGCAGTTGCTGGGAATTGAACTCGGGACCTCAGAATCTCTGAAAGAGCGGTCAGTGCTCTTAACCACTGAGCCATTTCTCCAGCCCCCATCATTCCACTTTTAAATGCTTACCCAAGAAAAATGAGGATGAAAACCTGCCTGTACACACACCCGTACATGGACCTTCACAAAAGCTGTATTTATGTAGCCGTAAAGTGCTGCCGATCCACCTGCCCCTCAACAGATGGATGGAGAAACAGGAGCAGACTGCGGGATCCCACAGCTTCAGGTGTGAAGTCCTAAAAGGCAGAGCAACACGTGACTTCTGCTCAGTTAGACATTTTAAATTTCTGATATGTTTTTTATTTTTATTTCGATAAAATTTTAGAAAACACAAACTAACTTGGTGGCTGAAGTCAGTGGTTGTTAAGGATGCTTAGTTAGGAGGGTATGGGATACAATGCGAAGAGTACAAGGACATTAGGGGACTAGTGGATATGTTTGTTATCTGTGCTGTTTTCATTAGCCGTTACATGTACCTTAACAAACTGGGGATTTTAAACATGTGATCTATTATGTATCAAGCGTGCCCCATATGGTTGATCTTCAAAGCCTCCAAGGCACACCAGTGTGTTAGTGCAAGCCATCTCGGAGCACAGCCTAGGGCCCTCTGCTGCTCAGGCTTCCATCCCATGCTCAAATAGAGTTCCCCAGCAGAGTAAGGGATGCCTGTCCATGGACCACACCATCCCATCCCTACCCCTGACTAGGGGGGACGAGAATGCGGATGGCACCCCACAGGAAGTGCAGTTGCAAGAGAGAGATTTAAGGAAACGGTATGGGTGGAGAGTTCAAGAGAGTTTGGCTGAGAATATAATCTCTACATGGATTTAAGGAAGTGGGTCTGGGCTCTCCACCCACGTCTATTCTGTGTTAAACAGAAGTGCTAGAGGAAAACCCAGCATTCACTAAGACTTACTGACAGGGATGAACGTCAGCCTTGTCTGAATTTCCAGTGTGAAATTCAGAAAGTGAAAAAACCTGGAAACTCTAATGGGAGCCATAAGTAAGACAGATGCTGAGAACCAAGAGTAGGGTGTGGTATTCTCAAAACTAAATCTAGCAAGACCTTCCTTTTGTGTCAGATCAAGCAGACTGTTCCCTAAAAGTAAAACAACACTTGTGGACCAGTGAGATAACTCGGAGGGTGAAGGGACTTATTATCACAGCTGATGACCCGAGCTGGGTCCCTGGAATCCACGGGGTGGAAGGAGAGAGCCAACTCTCATAGGTTGTCTTCTGACCTCTATTTGTGTGCTTTTGTAGACACACACATACACGCATGCGCACACACATACACCCATGCACGCATGCACACACACACACTCATGCATGTATGCACAGACACACAAATAAAAATGTCATAAAAATTAAAAATAACATAAGTTTTTCTATTTTCCCACAAATACTGTAATAAAATTTAACACACAGTAGAAAGCAAACAGAAAATGGCTAGTATAGTTAAAAAACATCCAGGGTTTCTGTTTTGCTTGCAAGTTATTTGCCAGTAGAAGAAACCGCTGGTTGACTCTGTCTATGAGGAAGGCTCACCACTTTGGGACCAACTGTAGAATGCTGCAGTAGGCATGGGTGAGGGCACTGCCAGCCAGCAACCTTCAATCTTACCATGGCAGCCATACAAAGACAGACCTTCCTGTGTTTGGGTACCGAAATCCAGCCTTCCGGCCCTCCAGACCACATTGCTAGGGAAGGGACCACACATTCCCAGGAAAGGGCGTAACCATCCTGGCAGAAATGAAGACATGTGTACCTCTCTCTTTTTGGATCTCAGACTACCGAAACAATGAAGGGAACTGGAATTTTCCAGGAGTCTCATGATAGAGAAGGGGGAGCTGGTGTCAGCTAAATGGGGAACTTGTCCTCTGGGAAGAGATTTCACGCAGTTCTGAACACTGGTCAGACCACCTGGTAGGTGAGACTGGACTGGAGACAATGATGGTGTTTGGGACCACACTTTGACCGGGTGTGGTTATACAGAGCTCTTGCCCGCTATTTAAATCTGAACCGCGTGTCAGGACCCCAAGTATAGACTTGGGTGAGAGTGTCACTGTGTTACCAGGTTTATTAGGAGCTGAGTCTGAGCCTTGACAGACTCCTAACAAACCAGGCTTGGTTTGTCTTCAATTGTCCCCAACTGGTCCTCAACAAGTCAATTACACAAAGAAGAAATGGTAAGAAGCAGGAGAGAGAGAGAGAGAGAGAGAGAGAGAGAGAGAGAGAGAGATTAGATTAATATGGCTACATTGGGAAGAACAACAAAGAGCTCCCGTGTCCTCCTTTGCCTCTCTGAACCCTAATCCGAGGCTTTGGTCAGAGTAGAAGGCAAGAGGCCTGCAGCTCGGCAGTCTGGGTTAGGATGGAGCTCTGCCCATTGTCCTAGCTCACCTCTGCTGCAAGTCTGAATGTGGCTTGCTTGTCAGGGCCCACATTCTGAAGCCAGCAACCCCGGGTAGCAAGGACACCTCCAAAGACTTTGTACAGAGGGTCCCAGAGCCCTCTCACCTATCTGAATGGCTGTGTGACACCCTGTGAGTTTTCCCGGTGCAGTGGCACTGCTTCTGCCTTGTGTGGGATGGGGAAGAGAAGCATAGGGAGCAACGTGGTAAGCCAGGACTCTGCCTGATCGGAATTACGTGTGCCTACCTTTCCATAACACTCTGGGCGGCCTAGCTCCTTTACCTACACATGGTATGCGCACATGCCTCTCTCTCTGACAAATGCAACTAACAACCTCAGACCCCACCTTCATCAGGTTATACCTACACCCCTCTCTCAAAAATAGGATATGTTTCTCTTCTCCATCAAGTTCTGACAGTTTCTGTTCAAAAATATTCCTAATACATCTTAGCTGAGGGCAAGTTCATCAAGCCTAAACTGGATGTGAGCACATGTGCATTAAAGGCAAAACCATGTCCTCAAGTTTTAGGGACAATCTCCTATGCTCAGGTTGCTTTTCTGACCTAAAGCAAGGTGGGGAGGAAAGACTTTATTTGGCCTATAGGTTACAGTCTGTCAGTGAGGGAAGTCAAGGCAGGAATCCAGAACTGAAGCAGAGACAATGGACGATCATTGCTTGCTGCCCCTTGATTGCTCTGATACCTTGATTGTACAGCCAAGAACCAGCTGCCCAGGGATGGTGTGGTCCATAGGAGGCGGGACCACCTGCCCAGGGATGGTGTG